TATATTCTTATCAACTCTTAAAAAAAGAATTACTTGAACAACTCAAATTATAATTTATCACGTAAATGTTAGAAGAATTAAACTCATATGATACTTAACTCAATTACTGGTATGATAATTAATCATGAGAATAATTATTTTTTATATTTTAGAAATAAAATTCTCATTATCTGAATGGGTTCAATTTTTCATTAGTAATAGTAAAAATGTGTATCTTTTTAAAAAGGTATCGATTGACCTTACGATGTCTTATATTCTTATAAAATACACTAACCAATACACTAATTTTGTGAATCAGAGTATACTCATCATTTAAATTTGTATTGACAATGTAAAGTTTATCACTCATCACAGTAAATTTGATAAAAAACACTCTATCATATTGTAGGGTCAGAGAAATAATACTGAACCCTACCCAAATTATCAGTCAGGCCGAATATATAACAAATTCTAAAGACTGATCACTGGATTTCGTCAAGATCAAAGATGTCCTGTGTTATACAATGAACACATGCATTATAATGGCCGCCTCATGTACAGTACCTTTCTTTAATTTGATCTGTTGAGTATATAACATTCTTTCCAATAAAACTTTAACGGTTCTTGAAATGTTTTGAAGTAGGAAGGCTTTGATACCAGGTTAAGTTGGGTCAGGCTAAGAGTTCATTGGATGCCATGACTTTGATGTAGAACTATTTATGTTAGGCAGTCACATCATTCCCATTCAACCCTAGTGGATGTGGACTGCAGGCCAAACGAGACAAGCAACAGCATTACATCAATCATAGTCCGACATCTACAATACTTTCATACAATTCAGCTAAAATTTCCTTTTAGCAATTGAGAAGAATAATGGTGTTGAATATATTCTTCCGATACAATCTAACTGAAGTCATTTATTCTGTTTACACACTGCTATTTAAAAGTGAATTTCCTGTTTCTCAAATGAGCTAGTTGGGATTGACTGGCCACCGAAATGACTAGCATATTTGTACCAATGTATCACTGATCAGTGACCAACATCAAGGAGCAAAGGTTCCCTCGAGATTTTAGGTACACCTTGCTGATGAGTGCTAACTAGCAAGAAACCTAGGTCCAGAGTTTCCGTCCAAATACCTCTAACTAGCTAACATGTTTATAAGATGCATTGTTTTCTTGTTCTGTCATTTTGAAAATGGTGTAAACACCAAAAGAGTCTAGTCAGTTGATCTACTATGTTTCTAATGTAAATAACTCACATCCTAGTTTTACAGTTCCTTTGATTTAACTGTTGAACTTACCGAGTAACCAGTCTCTGTTGATTAGTAACAAGATCCAGGACAGTTCTCAACTAATTTACTCAACCTTGCAATATAATGTCTAAAGCAGTTGAAAACTCAATTGACATGACCCAGAACCTTTTTTCCCAAATAGTGGTGCTATAAAATCTAACGACTTATCACTAAAAGACCTATTCACATGGATTTTACTGAATAGGTGTTAGGAAGGAATGATTAAATAACTCAGTAAATTCGTTATATTTGTTGATTGTACTGGTTTAATATTATGATATAGTAAATTGTACTCATCAATTAAATTATTGATTAATTAATAACAAGTACTTTTCAGTTTAATTTGTCCATAATCCCACTACCAACCGGTTTAAGTAAATTATGTATCATTGTATTCATATAAGACTTTTTAATCAGTTTTAGGTGTCGAATAAATCACTATCATCTTTGTCTTTTACCTTGTTTTGAACAATATCTCCGTTTTTCAGTTTACTTATCATACAAACAAGTTCATTAGGACAAACCGATCTGATCAAGATTAGTTAAAAATCTTACTCCTCTTTAAAGCAGGTGCTGTTGTCTAAATCAATTAATACAACCAACGCAGAGAGCGCAAATCAGCTACAATCATAATTAGAAGCATTTATTAACATATAACCGATCAGGTTATGAAGAGGTTTTGAATCAATTACTTATTCGTTCTAAGTATCACTGAGTTTCAACGTAGTTTAACCGTTTAGACTGCACATTTGTTAATAAACTATCAGAAAAATTAGACAGAACGCTTCAACAAAAAGCTTAATAAATTGAATTGATAACGTACTATTGAAATGTCCAGTACTAATTTGGAATGAACAGCCATTGGATTTACTTAGCTGTCTTCCTCACTATCAATATTCTTAGGAACATTATAAAAAGACTAGTTGCATAATTCAAATACTCAAGAATATCGAAATAAATGAGCCACTAGATTTGTACAATTTGAAACTGATAGCTGATATGAAGAGTAAGAGCTTAGTTAATTTCAATGCGAATGACATAAAAAGATTGATCTTTTTTCCAATCATATGACATGTATCCATATCTTAAGAAGGATTATATATGCTTAATTGTTTAATAAGATAAATGTGTAAGTTATAGAACTCTTATTATCAAATGTAGCTTAGTTCAATTGGAAAAATCTAACTGTGAACAAATCATTTAAAACATGGTGTATTCCTAAATCATTTTGATTTATTTTAGCAGTCGAATAAATCATCACCGGTGTTCATGCCTTTTCTCTTGTGTTCAGGTTATAGTATAGATTAATTTTAGGGTTTTTAAAAGCAGCTAGAAAATCGGATCGAATGTTCAGTTAGCAAACTTATCAATACCTAAAAAAACGACTTGCTAAATTTATGTCCTCGGGGTAAATGAAGTTTAGTCGAGGCAGATGGTTTGTTACAATATAAGGGCTGTGACTATGTTCCTTATAAGCATATCGGGAACAAAACAAGGAAGAAAAGTTATGAAGTTGAAACTCAGTAGGACAGTGTGAATTCAAATGTTTTGACCAAGTTCTGCTTTCTTGTTTAAATCTAATAACCGTCATAAAATAAAAATAGAACATTGACTGAAACCAAAGAAATCGATATACATTTTGTAAATATATATACTTATCTTTTCAGTTCATTATCATTATTATTGTAATCAATATCGTCCTGAAAAAATTAGTATGTATATTTGCGATTGTACAGCTTTGAAAATGAATTCGCCAAAAAGAGAACTCTTCGCTGAACCAATCTTTCTTATTTAATGTCCTACTTAATGGGTGTATTCCGTTTACAAATTTAGTATTCGAGTAATATGATGTATAGTGTTGGATAGTCAAAAACAATTGACCAGAACAGATATATGTGCTTCAGGATCATGTATACGTTACAACCACAATCGAAGACAATAGCAATAAAATGACCGAACAGTGATAGATTATCGTGAAAGTTGATTTTAACTGAACAATAAGTGCGAACTAGCCAGCAGTACTTTATTATATTAAAACGCAGTATTACATGCAACACTTAAATACGTTTGAATTAATGGATAATAACCTCACTGAAACTGTAAGACGCCATTCATTTTCGAAATTCGTTGAAGATGCAGCTAAACAGTACAGCGGAACTAGCAGTTATTCTTAAAAACTTTGCAACTTTTCCTAATAAAAACCATCTTCTGTTACGATATTAACTGATGAAACACAGTTAACATCAATCCTGAGCTATTCATCATACAAAACAAAAAGTTGTGTAATTCTAATCCATTTGCTTATTTTCTAATTTTTTATAAGACACGGGCACTGAAAAATAAGTTTGTGAGCAGCATTCTTTTTAAAAAAGCGATACTTCCAAAGTGAAACATGAACACGAAAACAGAAGTTGATATGAGAAAGTGTAACAGGCGTAATTACCGAAAAATACGTACTTTAAAATAGATAATGATAATAGTAATAGTAATAATAATACTAGTAGTGTTTTCAGTGTATTTTGAGAAACCGGTAATAATCATGTCAAGGACATTTGGAAATAAACAATTGTTTGAATATCGGTCAACTATTATTATAACTGTTATTGACAGTAGTGAGATTGTACATCTGCACACACACACACACAATATATATATATATATATAATAGCATTGACCAATTGAATGTCTGGGTGGTGAACACAAATAATAAAATTGTTCGACAGTTTTCTGTTATAAACTCATACTGACCGCCAGAATTAGTGCATACTTGTACAGATGATGTAGGCAAATGTTGATTTCATGAAATAAACATTCTGTGCTATGCTTTAATCCTACCACAAGACAACCTGAGGACTGTTTTTTTAGATTAGACCAAAATTTCGTGCACAAAAATAGAACAATCTGCATCTTCTCATTATTCTAAGATTCAGGTTGATGTATGTAAAAATGAGACCAGTGTGAATTGATCATAAAACACTAATGAAAGAATTATTTATCCCTTTTAAAAGACAGAAAAGTTTCAATCCAATATAAGGAATATTTGGTGAATAAAACTATTAAGCATATATATATATATATATATATATATATATATATATATATATATATCCGTTGTTCGTATTTCCCTTAGTAGTAATAATTTCACGGTCGTTTATTCATTAAGGTGGACTCATGAAAAGAAAAACAAAACAGTTTATTCTTTATTGAAAATAAAAGGCAAAATACTAAACTAATACCTTCTAAAATAATAATAATAACAATGACCTGTTCCTTGCTGAAACGAGAAACAACCGCAAACAATAACACAGAAAACAACGCTTTTTACATACGTGCACAACTGTATACAAACACGTAGTCATATGCATAAATAAGTAACAAAACATACTTATTGGTTACGTTAGAATAAATAGGCATAGGTATTGTATGTGTGTGTGTGTGTGTCAAAAATGGAGAGAAAGAGATAAGAAATAAATTATTTGATATATTCTGAAAATGCCATTGGAATGAAATAATTCACGATAAAATATAAGAAAGTCTAAAGAAACCATTGAATATTTGATTAGTATATTCGAGGCAAAAACAATTACAAATCTACATTTCTGTACACAGTCCTGATTATATTATATCCTACATGAACAAACATAGTAGTAATATGGTAGATAATGTCCTGGAAAAGTAAGAATATTCATAAAAATGAAATGGATAAAGAGAGAGGATATTTTAGCACATTTACAGTTGATTATCGCAACCGCCTTTGCTTAATCGATGCTGAGCAATTTCCATAATACCATTCAAGTGTACTAAGGCAGCCAATACAACAAATACATGAAATATTTGATGACTTTGGAACTGAAAATATAAAGGGAAACATTGAAGAATAAAACTTTTTAAAAGATGATACTATGATGATAACAACAGTATGAATAATACTAAAATATAATTAAGAAAAGTTGAAAAAGGGTATACATGAGAGTCAGTCATCAAATTCGCTGTTAAAGATATGAGGACACTTATCACTCCCGGTTACTTACACCATAAGACTCTTCTTTTTCGGAGATCTAAACAGGAAACTGGATTAGCGATGGCATTTAAGACGTAAGGAGTGATCCCCATTGTCCAAGGGACAATTGATTGAGGACAGTCACGCATAGCCGTTTCGTAAGTAGTTTTTGGTGTGTCAACCCCATACTTTGAAGGCCTTAAAACAGACAACGGTTGTCTTCGGGGTAATTTGGGATGTTATATTTGGAATGAATCTTTCTAACCTCCCGCCACTGTTGTAGAAGCCAGAATCTTTGCAGATATAGGTTGTCTGAAGAAAAAATCATACTCCTATCACTCTCTAAACAGTCGACAGTGCGATTTTGCCCTCTGATCACTGGTTCAGTGCTTTTGTTCTTACAACCTTCTAAACAACACCCCTGACGTGTTAAAACCTTAAGGAACATATATTCCAATCGATATATTGGATCATCAGAACCAATCCCAACCACCACAAAAAGGTATTAGCTACAACCGGGTGAAATATACAAAACGATAAAAGTATTTTCCAAAATAGAAAATCAGTAATGAACTTGACAGTTCTTGGCTAGGATAAGATACTTTCAAAGTTTGATATTACAGATTCCTTTACAATAAACGATTTATTGAGAAAATCTACCAACTAAGTTTAAAATAGTCCTGTCTATATTTCCCTATTCATATCCTAATAGACCACCGACCAGATTAAGAAACGTACTATCTTGAAATAATTACTATAGATATAACTTGCATACATTATTTACGAGCTGCATATTCGACTTCATAATCCGTCTAGAAACTATAGATCTATTCCGAAGGAATGTGGCTGAATAACTCAATAGCTCTATAATAATCCACACAAAATCTGATCAAAACATTAAAGTGCTTTGCTTTATTTATCATTTGCTCTAATGAAATTGAAGTGACGTGTTTGAATATAAAGATAATTAACAATGAAGTAAAATAAAACTTTATATGCTCTTTTACATTACAAGGGTTAATTTAGAGTAACTGGAATCAAACACATAATATTATATATTCGACTATGTTATTTGAAGTAGTGACTTCAGAGGAATTACTAATATTACGTTTTGGAAACTAAATACAGTGTACAGTAAAACGTGATACTGCATCTTTTTGTACAGGTCAAACGAATAATCAGTGGTTTCAACAGACAAATGTGCTACTCCATATTTAGGTTAGCTTACACATTTTACATTCAGTCACATCACACTGGACAGCGAAGTTTACCATAATAGAGGTGTTAATATAGAGCATGTAAGATGTGCTCCAACTATCCAAGTTTAATGTAAATCCTAACACAATTATTAAACATTCGAACTACTCTATTTAAATAAATTTACTAAAATTATCCACCAAACTGTTGATGTCGGTAACTTAACAGTTAAGTGCAAAAAGCTTTTAGCTAAAATATCTCACAATACCACAAAAGAAAACAACTACTATCGTCTCATTGCAAATATTTAGACTGTCAAAAAAAGTATATTCGGGCTGCCACGGTGCGTACCTAAAAATGAAACAACTAAGATTTCACTATATATGCCATAGTCTTATCGATATTATTAACTAATACTTAAAGTTACAATTAGTAACCAATACTAAGGACTCCGACATAGTTTCCACTTTAAGCTAACATCACCTATCAAAAGCTAGTGAAAACCAGGGAAATGTTTTGTTCTACTTTGGGACCACCTTTAAAGTAGTACACATTCACAACTATGCACGGCACTCAACCTTAGGCATTCACTTTTCTCATGGTAAGCAAGATAACTTCAAACTATTGAGTCGAATTTCAATAACGCTTATGTCAAACTTCAATTACGATTAAATTACCAGTTCATAGTAGAAATCTACCTCCAGGTTTAACAGACATTTATAAATCTCTAACCTAAATATTGCCAAAAACAATGAAACAATGTTGATTTAGTGATAAATAAAACAATTCGATAACTACAAGGGAAATAGTTCACAGTTTGCTGCTTTTGCATAAAATGTTACTTCGCATAGACATAGTGTTACAGCCTGTAAATAGGTGTGGCTAGGAACTAACAACATATTTAAAAGATGCAAAAAATTTGGTATGATTTGAAACCAGGCCTAGTTTACATTTTACATAGGAACAAAAACATACAACAAATGGCTCTGAACGTAGAACACAATATTTACATAATAATGAGTCAGTTTTCAATCCCTCCATATCTTTTTTTTAAGTTTGCTGCATTTGTCTTTTTTCCTTTTCCAAATAATTAAAACTTATTTTAGTTTGTAACAACATTAAAAGAACTTAGATATCTAATGAGCTCACAATTAATTTCACCGGGTACTCAGTTATGACCCACACTAGATTTGAGGGTTAATGATACTACTCAATTGTTCAAACAGAATTAGATCGACTAATGTTCGAATTCGGGACATAATGGCTACAAGCCAAGCTCCGTAACCATTAAGCTGCCTCTCCATATGTACTTATATTGTTCCACCACAACTGCTGTTATTCGCTTACCAAAATTTGAAAATGGTGAGTGGTGAAATGAATTTATTTGATATAAACATTCGCAATTGACTTAAAACGATGTTAATATGTTAGATTCTATGGAATGTTATTTTAAATCAACATATTACTTACAAGAACAATAGGTCTATCGGTTGTGCTTCATAAAATGTTTTAATGTACTTTTGAACATGTATCATTAAATTATCAAGAAATCAATACACAACTTTAAAAAGTGCTGTGACGAAGTTTATGTAAACTGTGAGTTAGGATCTAGCTACAGAACTCCAAATCAATAATCAGTCAATCATCATCGACCCAGAGTCTAACAGATATGAGATCGCCCAAGTTATCATATCACACATCAACATGCGATGAAATTAAGATGATGAATAGCAAAAGAGATCAATATAATATAGTAGCAATGATAATCAGGAAGATCAAACATTAGGAACATGATCCGGAAAAACAGATTAGAGACGCATATGAGGAGGGATATTAGGATTCACAATCGAGAGGAGGATAAATAACGAATGTATCTGCTCAATTTTAAACGATTTTGAGTCATATTAACTAAAATTTCCAATCACCGATCGCAGTTATTGAGGAAACACCAACAACGTAATCTAAATCTAACTGCGTGGAACAGAATACGTTGGAGTTATTTGCACTAATCGGAAACTTATAATACATAGAATGAATCCCTTATATTTTCTTTCCACTAGCTTCTTATTGGTACGAAAACATGTCTTAATCCGGACCTTTAGTTCCCTAATATTAACGTTTTCTAAAAACTCAGATGCAATAGACAATTAAAAGTAACCTAAATACTTAATAATTAAACCAGTGGAAGGCTAAATGTGAATAATATGATTGGACTATAAACGTACAATGTCGATTAAAAGCCAAGTGTAAAGATTTTTATTTATGGATGAATTGAGTTAATAATATTTTTTGAAATAGTTTACTTTGAACAAGAATGTAATCGACAAACCAGAATGAAATAACTTACCCAAATATCAAATTTACCAGGATAAAGACGCTCAGGTATACGTAGTGCATAAATGGTAGCTCCCGATATATATAGTACAGCCATTAGAATAAGCCATCCAAGTGCAGAATAATGAACACCCTCCTGAAGATCTTCAATTAGAATATAATGTACACAAGGAACCACTCCCGACAGACCAAGAGCAATAAACAAAACTGAAATTTACAACGATCAGTAAGTCAACCAAACAAACAAAGTATCAATATTGAACAAAATAAACGCATGGTAATCATAACCTAATTTTCCGTGATGTATAATTACAAAGTGCCGATTATCATAGTTACGCAGCCTCACTGACAAAAAACAAGAGTGCGAACAGAAGTGATTTAAGGTTAAAGTGAATAAATAGAATTTTAGAGGTACACAGAGTTTGTTAAAATATTTTTGAACGTTTAAACAGTAAAATTTGAATATAAAATAATCTGGTATGGCCATGTGTAAATGACCAATCCGTGCAACTAATATTCTACACAACAAAACGTATATACTCTAGAAATAAACACTTTATCCCGGAATTGTCTATGAACAGTAAGATGTTAAAACGTATCTATCTCGAACTTCCTAGATATCGTCGACAACCAATATTTAGTTAACTAAAGTATGTAGACATATTACTCGCTGTTAAAATATCAAAATCATTGCACATGGTGTGTAAGAGTCGAGTATTGAATAAACTAAAGAATTTCATAGATATGACTTCATAGAATGTTTTTGTAATCTGTCAAAGATGCAGCTATATTTGTGCTCTTTACCAATGTATTGAAGTAAAGTTACCTGGAAATAATAGTAAATCTGATTAAGTCGTTTCTAGTGAACTTAAGAGAACTTCCTTTATCATGAACTGATCTAATAAAATACTGAAACCAATAGAATAGGACATAATCCGATTTACAAATCCAAACCATCAATCAATTATTAATCAGGAAAAATCTTTACGAATAGACATAAATAGGTTAATTAAACTCAATTCTAAGTCTTGGACCCTGTTAAGCGACTTCGTCGATCTCGTTGAAGACTATAAAGCCAACATCGACTCTACGATCAAGTTTTTAACTGGAAGTTTATTCGAAAGTTAGCCTACTTCTTTAAGTCTCCCATCAATTGCTCTAATTTCTTATGATGATTGTTTAATTCAGATGCCTTTTAATTTAGTCACAAATATTTACAGTCCACTAGCATTATCTTCCCCTGATTATTAAACAATTAAATATTCCTGGCACCAATCATATTTTGTCAGGCCTTTCTAGGATGAATATTGTTACTCTGAGATAGCTCATAAACCAATTAATTGGAAACAGTTTGAGACGAAAGAAAGTGATCTCTTTAAATTAAACTGTTCTCTTCTCCAGTTTCTATTGCAAACATTGACTAATAACGTTATAGCATACTTACCTTCGATTTTGATTGGGACAGAGTAAAATGTAACACACAATTTAACCGAGAATCGATTAACAGTTTCAAGTCACCGGAGAAAAGTGACAAAATACTGCCACATATGTTTTGTCAGTCTTCTCCAGTGACTTGAAACCGATCAGTACTTGATATTTTAACTATTATACAATTAAATCGCGGATACGGTATGCATACATAACTTACGTGCTCTAGCTGCACGATACGTTGGGCTAAGAAAATAATCTTGCGTGCATACAAAAGCGCAAAATCCACCAAGTATCAGCACAGCCAAAATATAAACAAGTTTGAATGAATTATAACAATAGAAAGAATAATGGATCCATGGGATAAATGACCCGATAACAAGTAATGATATTCCAACATAGTCCAATCTGCAAAAAACAATTAAAGTAATACCGTTTTTCATATAATAATACGCTTAAATATTCTATTTGTAGAAAAAGACGTTTAAATCTAGAGAGAAAGAGGATATGTAAGGTGTAACACCACATGAATTAATTTATTTAAGTGAATCGAGAGATATTTAAAACAATGTATCTAAATAAATACTGAAACTTGGTAGCATAAATGAATGAAGCTGTGCTTCAGTGATTTTGTGTTGTAACTTGGAGAAATACTAGTATGGATAATATTTATAATTGAGAAAAGATCTTCAAAAAATAAATAACATTTTACCTGATGCTCAATTTATTTGAAATTATCAAGTCTAACCTTGGTAACAAGACTTATGAACAAAGACTGATATGGGTTGATGTAAGGGAATGCGTTAAACTACGGATTAAAACTATATTATGCACTAACAGTAATCCCACAACTGATCCAACTACTGATCGACAAGTGCATCAAGTAGTTTTTCACCATAGCTCTATACTAATATATATATATATATATATATATATATGATTTACAGCAACAACAACAAAATACTAATCGAATAATCGTGTAACATAATTATATAACTTTAAAGCGACCATAAAATGATATCAATTTATTAATTGAGTAATTGGAAGAAAGAGCATTATTATGGTGAAAGTAATTATCTGTAAACGTTAAAAAATTCAACTAAACAGCTACAAGACTGTATAATATTTAACAAGAGAATTAGAAAAATCTTTTGATAAAAACTAAGTTTTATAGTAGCTGTGTAAGAATCAAGAGACGGATATTGAGATGTAAAAGTAAACAAAAGTGACTAAATTCGTGAACTTTTCGAATATCTTTTGAAAGAATGAGGTTCAGCTAAAATGCGATTACATATCTGTGGTTAAGGTAGAGAGGGCGGTTGTACAAACTTCTTTTGGAATGCAAAGGTTAGGTTTGTGAACATAGATTCTGATAGCTTCAGCAGTATGTAGAAGACAAACCCGTAAATCATACGGTGATGTCCTGTGTCCACCAAGTGAACAAGAAAAGAACTTTGAATTACTCTTACCTGTTTTTTGCTAAACCAAGACGAATGGCGTTCTGCTATACGAGGAGGGACTTATCGAATTGTACGTCCTATATAACTTGCTCCTCATAAGCAGTTGAATTAATAAATAATCATGGATATACAGAATTCAGGCAATCTATTTTTAGTAATGGTTCTCATTATTCGACGATTGTTCAGTTTGGCTGCAGTAAATGTTTTATGAGTAGCTTTTCTCAACCTATGCGTTACTGTTTCCTTGGTAGCACCACTTAGGAATTGTAACTTCAAGAACAGGGAAATCTTTGGAACGGCTGTTACCTCCGGTCTCATTTTTACTCAATTTACCTACTTGTACTAAGAAAGTTAAGAATAATACACAATTTATCTTTAGAGGCGTCATCAAAGCAAACCACTTTGGTACGATGAATCAGGGTCTTTACTAGGTTTCTTTTATACATGATTTGTACAGAACTATAACAAGGAATATCTTGTCCGATTGCGAATTTCCTATGTATCCCTTTTACTAATCTTCCGTATAATCTCTTAAGTCGGACGTCTAAAAATGATGTGCTATTATTATGTTTTCCCTTAAGCATGAACTTAGTAGATGGATGAACGTGATTAATTACAATAAGCAAACTATTCTTTATATTTTTATTTTCCATTGCTAAGAAAGTATCATATATGTAGGGACAGTTAGATGTTAGTTGACAGACAGTGTCTTTAAGTTGTCTATTTTCTAGTTTTGCGAGAAAAGTCTGTTAGCGAATGACCCAATGGTGATCACATGGTTGCACCATCTATCTGTCTTTTACTAGGTGTCCGAAAGGGAATCTCCACTAAACTGCAGCCAAATTACGCTGTTATATATCATTTAGTTGGTCAACAGTCAAATTTCAGTACACTGAACTGGCAGTACTTGACACTAATGAATAACTTAATACATGTATACAACTTACAACATTAACAGATAAACCGCAGAAACTGACAGTTATAACTAAATTCCTGAGTTATATATTTGGTTTTTCCTATCACTTACTTGGTTTTACACATTTGACATTTTAATATTGACCTTAGCTACTTTAGAATTTCAAGACTGTACAGAGAAAATAAAGGCTCTTTGAAAATTACATTGAACATTATTAACTCTTGTTTTAAAACACGTTCGAAATGCTATATTGTTTTAACTGCTGAAGGTGTTTTTATGTAAAATCACAAAGCGTAAAAGATGTTCATCTTTATCATAATTACCATTAATTAAATTCATAATTAATAAGAATACATGTAGTAGACTTAATAAAACTAAATAATGTGACATTGAAGCAGATATATGAAGCTATGAATAGTGAAATATTTGAGTGAGTTGAAGACTGGAAGTAAGCAACGCCCGTCGCGTTTTTTTAAAAAAAGTCGTTAGGTCGATAATAAGGTCAAATTAATTCTACAATTTTAAGCAAGTTATATAGAAGAAATAATATTAAGTGTTTGAAATGTTTTGAAAAAACCTTGACGAGTCATTCTCGGAATCCATCGCATGAAAATAAACTTTCTTTAAGAGACGAAAAGGGTGTCATTACTAGAAGACATGGGAAATATTTATGATAGATGTATGTAGCTTTGGCCAAGGCTTGTTGCAGTTATAATAAGTTTGCACTATTCTTAAGGTTTATAAATCTATATGCTGAATTTCTTAAGATCTCAACAAATAAATATCAAGTTACCGGAATAAAGCAACGATCTATACTGGAAACGATTATAGAATACTCACTTGTTGAATAATTTACCAACACGTTCTGAATGGCAATAAACTGTGTGAAACAACCACGAAAAACCAAGTGCAAGGATGGCGCTTGTAAAAAATACCTGAACAACCATTTTCTCTTGCCAATGTATATTTAAACCCGGATGAACTAGAAATGAGATACTCAAGATCAGAAAACAAACGAAACCTACAAAAAAGTCGGAAAAATTAGATGACACGTGTCAGGAAGTTGAGTTGATGTGTTAAAACCACCCAATGCACAAAAATGCAGATGCAAAAACCACATAGAATGGATATATCGTGAATATCACAAATATTTACATATTTCCGACAGGTATTATCATTAAGACTTTGAGTTTTAAAATATATGGAACAAAATGTCGGCTTTACTGATTACTATTAAATACGACCTAAATATTAGCAAATGAAAGAATGATATATATGTTTAATTAGTGATTACTGAGATCAGAGACTAATCAAACTGACGTAAATACTGGAAAATAACCTAAAACTCAATAATAGCAAACACAAAACAGTCCACACTCAAAATCTAATAAGGTAATGCTAAAGGTGATATTGTCACTTAGCTTATTGAAAGACTGCCATCAATGAAATGAAATGTTCTCACATATGTATAAATTGTCCGAAGTTTTTAAACATAATTGGGATCTAGCTATTGTTTGGAAGTATTTTTGAGCTTTTTGTTTGTTGACTTCAAAATAATGAATATATATTTGGTCACTTGGATTATGTGAAGCCACTATTTAGTCATCTTAATATAGTAAACAGTTAAAACCAGTTTTGATCTATCTAAAAGAAAAGATATATATCTTACGAAAAGAAGACCTCTGAATTTGAGTTTTCTAATAGTGACAGTTTGAGGCGGAAACGCAATGCAATCACCGACACGATAAAGTAAAAACGGAATGAAATTCCACGAATTATTACACGGTGACAGAAATATATTACTTTAACTACGGAAATGTAAATGGCTCTTAGTCAAAAACCACACTTTCGGACTTATCCTGTAGACTGAAACATAAGAGCAGTAACAAAAAACCCAAGATGTTTTACATCCATTAACATGGGAACGTAGAACGCAAACACCACACAATGCCATCAAAGCAATAATGATGCCCAACAAGTTGTATTTATGCCAGAGAACCTACACGTTGAGGTCTCAGCATATATCTGAAATATGTGGACTTTTTATGAATTAGAAGTCAAAAAATTAAGACTTACAGGGACCTCTACCTAATGCAAAATCTATACAGGTCTTAATGACACCATTATGATATTTCTCTAAAAAAACATCCAGTGAGGCGTGTTACGAGTTATCAATAGTGCTCACAGTTCAAGGTTACGAGGAAGACCAAGAAAAGTAACAGCACAGACAATCAATACAAACGTAATAGGTATGTATCGACAAGATTTGTTTCGTAAGTTGGAGTCAAAGTGGAATAAGATGGATGCAAATATTAACACACAAATCATTGACGATTTACCAATGAGATGTGTCCAAATATTTCCTGTTTCCGTATGAAGTCGGAAGATAGAACGGAAGCATTCGCGAAATGATGGGAGTTGAGGACGGTGACCCCGGAGGATAAAATCATTGTCTTTTAACCAGTGTGGTAAGCTATGGTGATGAACTACTCTCCACCCTTTTTTCCAAAGGTGAATAACCAACTCTTCTGCTTGTTCTACAGCCCTACTAGCAGCCTCTCCAATCTCATGAGCTGCGAACGTAAAGTAATCTCCACCATAACTAGCAGATCGACGATGTGCGCACAAGGGAGAGTGATTTGTTTTGGGAACAGTTAGTGACTGCAAGTCTGTGACAGACGAATTTAGATCCCAAGACGGTTGTGGTGTATATGCGTTGGTGGCCACATGGTTTGAAGAATCGCTGGGCAGGCAAAACTTCGGCAACTTTCGCCTCCTGACAGCAGACTGTGGCATCCAATCTGCATCTGTTTGACTTGAGATCAGAGGATCACAGGAAGATGAGGTGATACAGGCAGACCCCTCTGAACGCATCCGTCTATGTTTACCAAGCGTGTTCTGCATATTATCCTATATAAAAGAATTAGAAAACACTTCGAGTGATATTTACGTGTTGAGAAGAAACATGGTGAATATTATGCGACAAATAGTCCGCTGGTCTAAAAGAACTCCCCATCATTGAATGGAAACACACGTAAAGCGCGCTCAATCAGCTGATTCTGGTTCAATGAACGGACTAAATAACATGATCCAACATAACAAATGAACATTACAAGATCTTAAATGATTCAAATAACGGTGAGGTTAATCTTATTAGGCTTTGTCTCGGATTTTTTTTTGCTTTATTTTCCAGTTTAGCTTGATATAGTCCTACGACAACTTAGGAAAAAAATCAAGTGGAAGGTTTCAGCTTCATTTTGGAAAGGAAAGTAGTCTGTGTGGCTTGTATTAGTCCCATCGTTGGTGATCTGCCAGTTGATCCAACTTGTATTTGAAAGCTTCATCAGATGGCGCTTCAGTCTCGTGTTGAATTAATGGATTCCATTCGTTGATAATTCGATGAGAAATTTGATAGTCATCCGACAAATAATTTGTTCTGAGTTTGTGAACATCTTCAGAGTGTCCTCATAATTTCTCTGTTATTGCAGGGCATTTCAGATTCAATTTCATTATAAGGTCATTTAAAATTTTTGATCAAGCCACCTCTGGTCCTTCTATGTGACAAAGAAAATAGTTTACAGTTGAGCATCATACAGGAACTTCGCTATTCCAGAAATGAGCTTAGTTATGATTCTTTGAACCTTCTACAACAGCTCGCTGTCTCTTTTTAGCCAGGATCTAGCCGTTTGAATGCGATACTCGAGTTAAGGAAGAAGGAACATTGCATACAAAGTCAAAAGGGTTTTAGCTCCAACATAGCTTAAAGGCCTACGTATCGACCATAGAGTTCTAAAATCTTTTACAACTATCGCACAGCAGTATGGAGAAGTCTTAAATCTTGACTAATGATGGCTCCCAAGTCATTATGTATCTGAAAAACATGTAGACCAGTGCTACTCACGGTGTACGTATATGTACCTTGGTGACCAATATTCATCACGATGCACTTGAAAGTGTTTATCGGCAACGGCCAAATTTTAGACCAGTCAGATAATATCTCCAGATCATTTCGAAGTTCTAAACTATCACTCCTACTTTTTATCACTCTCCATATCTTGAAATCCTCAGCATATAACAAAAACTGATGATGACTGGGAAGGTCATTTACATACAAGAGGAACAACACTCCCACAAACTGCATCCTGAGGCACTCCACTAAGCACAGCTTCCCGGTTAGAGGACGTTGGGCTCATTTGTACTCTCTGTTGACACCTAACCAAGAAGTCTCAACATTATTTACGTTGCCTAAGTAATTTAAGAATACCTTAACTTTACCATAATGGTCCTGCTTTGATAATGAAGTACTTCTGTCTCCTCGTAATGCTAGAATATTTCCTTTTCTCCTAGTCTTTTGGTTTATGCATCAGTATGGGCGTTTAATATACTTTGAAGACTACTTGAAAAGTCTTTGCTCGTACAAATATTTAGACTTTCAGAAGATCGAAGCAGAATTATTTCGAGCTTCCTGGTTTTGAGATTTTGCTTCGTCGGCTCCCTGTAACGTAAATATTTTCCCCATTTCTCTCTTCATAATGAGAAGGGTTCGAACCTCTTTGCTTAACCACAGTGGGGAATTTCTCTAACTGTTTGGTATAGTCCAAGGGATGTGTGGTGCGATGACCGTAGGTGCACCAAAGTCTCCAATGATTAAAAGCCAACCACTTGAACCCATTTGACAAGACCTAATTCATTTCACAGTAGACAGATTTCGCTTTTTGTATTTCAAGCGGCAACTAACTACTTTACAACTCCCAACTTTATGGGATATTTTATCACTAACGGCAAGTGGAATATTTCTTATGAGCAGGTCTGGAGAATAATGGTCTACTATGATATTTGTACTGCTCCGATGATAGATCTAATCCTAAAATTGTACACTTGTAATGATGTAACTGCATAATCTATAAGACCTTACGTGGAAGTCACATCACTGTCTATACTGACTCATCGTGTCATAACAATAACCAATATATGATAGGGAACACATCTCGGCTAGAGATAGAACAATATATTTAGTATGAATAAAAGGTATATAACAACACATATAGTGATCACGCCTGCAATGCCGAGCCATGCCATCCAATCAATTCGAATTAATTCAATTCCTTCTTCCCGCTTTCTCCATTGTTAAGTTTTTCTCCGCGTTGAATATTGAATATCAAGTTTCCCAGTTGTCTGTTGCTCATCTTTGACCATTGTGTGGTTAGGACCAATATCAATACAGATCTACTTATCCTCCTTTAAGCCTCTGGATCTTGTTGGCTATTGTGAAACCTTCGAAACATATTCACTACTGTCTAAAGACGGTGTCAGCTAAGTTTCGTTGAGTGTGGTTGCAATCGACCTGATAGAGTCTGTCTATACACCTACCTCGATTAGCTTGCTGAGCAAGCTTCAAGCATTTGTGTCACAGACTCGAAGACCATTTAAATTACTTCGTGTGCTAATGACTAAGTTTACTATACTGTAACCCAACTGCTTCCTTTACAAGTCTAGATGAAACGGGACTAAACTAGGATTTAAGAGGATATTCAGTGCTTTCTAGCTTGCTGCAATCCATTACAAGGTCGTCTCTGAGTCGTCGATATCCTAAGTTGTAAAGATCACGATTTTAGGGCGTTTCTCGAGATGTGAAGGTAAAATATTCTGCCAACATAAAACAGATGTTGATGGAAATATCACGAAAGATATAAGTGGGATTGTTAGAGGCGGTAGACAACATCTTGAAGTAAGGGTAAAAGCCAGAATTCCACGAATTATCGGAGTTTCTGGAATACATAGCGTGACTTACCACAAATACTTAGGGGCAACTGGCAAGTAGAAGCTACACATCTCAGACAAAATCAGTATGTAACTAATCCACGTCGATCCGAGCTAAGTACCATGCACTGTCGAGCCTTAATAAGAGCCATTATCAAGTCCATTCTGGTGTTCATGTGTCCTCGTTCAGTGCATGGATGTTGACAGAGGATCACAAGTTGTGGGAAGATATACTGAAGAGGGCCAATTTGTGTTTTCATTGTTTAAAGCCTGATCACCTAGCGACAGGCTGTTCACTATCCATGAAGTGCCATATTGGTTGTCATAAACAACGGCATCACTAGCTTACCATAATAAAGAGCCTGTGATTAAGCACACTTTTCAGTCACATTTACTAAACCGGAGCTTGCTTCTGATTTTTACCTCTTTAATTACCTGAACCTACGGAATGAGTGGATAAGTATGCTTTATTAGATAGGGTGTACGATACGATGCTACAATTAGGTGATGTAGCAAAGCAGGTGAGAACACTTGGAACAGCCGCCCAGTTAAATGTACCCCCATCAGTGGAACGTCCTGTTTTATATCGGTACTCATTTGTTTTAAGCTTGAATGATTATATAGGGCTTGTAGAATTATGGTCTACTATGATATTAGTACTGCTCTAATAATAGACCTAATCCTAAAATTGTAGCTTCGTCATGATATAACTGCCTAATCTATAAGATCTTACGTGGAAGTCACACCATCGACTACACCAACTCACTGTATCGTATCAATTACCAATACATGATGTAGAACAAGGTTAGTCTAGAGAAGGAACAATATATTTAATATGAATAGAAGATATAAGGTAACATTCAGAAGGACCACGCCTGCATGGTCGAGCCATGCCATCCGATCAACTCCAATCCATTCAATTCATTCTCCGCGCCTTCTCCATTGTTAGGTATTTCCCCGAGTTAAATATTGAATATCTATTTTCCGAGTAGTCTCGTGTTCACAGCTTTGTGGATTGTGTGGCTATTGTCCAATGCCACTACACTACTCTCCCACCAGAATCAACGTGATGTTGGTTCGATACCGAATTGGATGGGATCGTCGCGCGCCGGAGGTTACCAAGGATAATAAGGATCCTCCGGGTATTGATAAGCTGAAAGATAAATAAAAAAGACGGCAGCATCTGGTCGGGAAATACATGTAATAATCTTAAAATATCTGCTTTCATGATTAACACGCTTAAAATGAAAATTTGGTTGAAGATTATTTGAACTATAAAAAATGGGATTACAATAATAATAATAAAACGATGCGTGTTAATAACTTAACTTATAGGCAGTAATTATTTTGTGTTTAGAAATATTAAAATAATGAATATTGTAGAAATGTTAATATTGGTATTAGTTTTGGTTTAAATCATGAAATCAGATAACGATTATGCCGGTAAGTTGTCCATAAGAGTTGAATTCCAATTGCATCTGTATTAGTAGGCTAACTGAAGGAACAAAAGTATTACCATGGAGAAGAATTCTAACTAGTGTTCCAGTTAGTTTGATACGGTTTATTTAGTTACGGGGAGATTTTCTCAACCTCATTTTTACTTGACCGTGATAGAATTTAGTAATACTACTAATACACATGAATGGTTATCAAAACAAAATTTAAATACATGAGTGATAATTATATGAATTTTGGACAGATAGCTAGGAACAAATCGTTAAACATGAGTTTATTCGTAAAAGACATGCTCCAGACTCAATGTTCGGATCTGTGGCAGACTATTTATTTATACTTATACTTGCCGGCTGATGGTGCATACAAGTTAGTTGCAAGTATGCAGTTTATTATAAGGCGGAATACGATATAGTGATTATAAGTTACTGAAATCAGTTAAGCCTGTGTCACATTACTAAGTGATGTGGTGCTGTAAGATGTACTCGGCCAAATACGTTTTTACAAGATGATTAACCGTGAGTGATGCTCATGTGATTATCAGGGAGTACATAAGTTGTAACCAAGGGGAGTACACTCCCAACTCATGTCTATGATAATGGCTTGAACCTTAGTCAGTGTTGAGGCAAATTCGACATTGATGTTTTCAGTTTGCCGGAGATTTGCTCGACTGCATATACTGATTATTTGCATGCATGATTGTGTCGCTAAACCATCAATTAGACTGACAAGGTTTTGAGATATTTACTGAATGAACAACTGATAGAGAAACATACTGTAATCATCTGTAGTGAATGAAGATAAAAG